CACCACATAAGCAAAAAGAAAAAAGCCGGAAGTGGCACTGTGGCTCAAGTGGTAGAGCACTAGCCTTGAGCTGAAGAGCTGAGGGACAGCGCCCATGGGGCCCAGAGTTCAGGCCCCACGACCGGACCCCAAAAAAAAAAAAGGAAAGCAAACTAAAATGTCCATCATCTGAAAAAGGTTTTTACAAACAACCTAGCATTCACAGAAAAATATCTGATGGATTAAATAAAAAAGCAAATTAAAAATAGTAAGCTACAATAGGATTCTTTTTAATATACATACGATTATATATCAAAAAGTACAAATACATCATTGGTGTTGATGCATACGTCTTTTTTATCTTTTTTTGATTTTTTTTTGGGGGGGTCCAGTCGTGGGGCCTGAACTCTGGGCCCGGGCACTGTCCCTCAGCTCTTCAGCTCAAGGCTAGCGCTCTACCAGTTGAGCCACAGCGCCACTTCCGGCTTTTTTCTTTTTGCTTATGTGGTGCTGAGGAATTGAACCCAGGGCCTCAGGCATGCAAGGCTAGTGCTCTACCACTGAGCCACCTTCCCAGCCCCCAAGATCTGAATTTTTAACACAATTTTGCCACTGGTAATTTAATAGAAAGTGACTTATTTAATTTTTGTTTTCTGGTAGTACTGGGGTTTGAATGTGGGGTTTGCAAGGCAGGATCTCTATACTTGAGCTGTACCTCCAGCTTTTCAACTATACCCTAGCTTTTGCTACTCAGCTGAAGATGGAGTCTCTGATTTTTTTGCCCAGGCTGGCTTTGAATCATGACCCTCCAGATCTCAACCTCATGAGTAGTTAGGATTACAGGAATGAGCCAATGATGCCTGACAATTTTCACCTAATTTAAATGAGTAGTTCTTACAAAAGAGCCTTGAAGAATTTTAAACTTACCCAATTATCGTGTGCTTTTTTCTCATGGGAAATAATCTGAAAAAGAAAGTTGCCAACAATGGTTTTCCTAAATAAAAACAATTCATAGCACCACTAAAATTTAGTGCAAAACCCATCAACAATATCCAATCAACTGTGAAGAGTCAGCAAGCAATATATTTAAATTTTCATGAAGACATAATCCATTCCATCATAATGTTTACACAGAAATAATGAAATACAATTTTGCTAGCAAACTTCTACATTATGCAATAATCTTCTAGAACAAGAGTTTTCAATGAACAGATAACTAGCCTAATTTGAGCTTCCAATGCTGATATCTGCTGATTTCTATGATATAACCCATTCCCAAAGAAACAGGAACCTTTGAAATTAAGTGTTTTGTTAGTGCCAGTACTAGGGCTTGAATTTGAGCTTTAATTTGACTTTCTTGCTCCTACGTGGCATGCTTAACAATTGAGCCAGACTTCCAGTCCAGTATTTTGCTGGTTAATTGGACATCAAGTCTCTTTAAAACTTTTCTGCCAAGGCTGGCCTTGAGCCACAATCCTGATCTCAACTTCCTGAGTAGCTAGAATTATAGACATACGCCACTCATGTCTAGCTAAATAAGATTTCTTCATCTCAGAATCTTTGGTGCCAGAAATGTTCCAAATAACAGAAGCACCACAAGCAAGGTGCTATAGCTGTTTCACTGGTCAAATAATGATACCTCTGCACCAATATTCAGACTAATCAGAATTGTTTTAAATCACACACACACACAGAGTGCCCTATACACATACATACACATACCTGTCCTTGATAAGAATGAATGGTTCTCTCCAATTCTTCTTCAAGGTCTTTGGCTCGCTTTCTATAAGGATCAAGTAATTATTCTACTATAGTATTAATATGTAATAAATCATAGTATACACTCTCCACTAAAAAACAGAAACAAAAACCACCCAGAGTTCAATTTAAACTTCAGACTACGTATGGAGTTCTATTGGGGGTGGGAGGCCACCACTCCAGAACTCTATAAATTAAGAAATAATCACCTCTGAGAGATTCTAAAATACTGTGTATTTTTTCCTGACCTACTTTTAACCTGAATTAAGTCTTAAAAGTACTAGTAATTGGGTTTATCTAAAACAAAGGACATGCAAAGATTTATATAGCATAATGGGTTTTTATTTCCAAGAAACATGACCCTGGAAGATTTATTCAAATATCTGTAACAGTAGTAGAGTTATGAAAAATGTAACAACTTCTGCGGTAAATGCTACTTATTAGTCTTAACTCCCACTTCCTGCATAGAGAACAGGAAATATTTTCTCGCCTTTTCTGTTTCTTCCTTTAACTCTGTTAATGCTAACAAACACTTGCTAACACTTGGCAACTTGCTAAAACTTTATAAAACTAACAGGGTAATTCCTTCTTTCAGATAAAACCAGTTTGTAACATAAGCTTGGTCTTCCTACAGAAAAATGAATGCCCTATCACCACTCTTCAGGATACTGTTGTGACTTGCCTCTTTTTCCCTCAGCTTTTCTATTTCCTTGGACCCAGCCAAACATTGAACCAAAAACGATAAACACTTATAAACACTTATTTAGAACACTAATTGTGGCTTGCTCTTCTTGATGTTAGCATAACATTAAGTCTGTACCCATTCAAATGTGCAATTAGCATCATTAATTTTACTGTTTTGTATGGTGCTGTAGCTCTCTGGGCCTTGCACATGGAGCTCCACCACCAAGCTACATCCCCAGCTCTCCTTTCTTTTTGGTGTCAGGACTGAAGGCTTGAATTCAGGGCCTGGTCACTGTCTCTGTGCCTTTCAGCTAAAAGGCTGGCACTCTATTACTTGAACCACATTTGCACTTCCAGCTTTTTGCTGGTTAACTAGAGTTTAAGAATATCATGGACTTTCCTGCCTGGGATGGCTCCAAACTGTAATCCTCAGATCTCAGCCTCCTGAGTAGAGAGATCGTAGGCATGAGCCACCTGTGCCTGGGTCTAGCCCTTCATTTTATGTTTTCTGGATAAGTGAACAATAGCAAGAAATCTAAATGAAATAAAGTTTATTTTTTGAGAAGTGGTCCTGTGTTTCAAGTGGTAGAGAGCTAGCCTTGAACACAAAGAGGCTCTGAGTTCAAGCCTAACAATCAGAAAAAAATGTTTTTTCTTTTGTGTTTGTTTTTGGGGTTTTGGGTTGTTGGTTTTGGGGTGGGATTTTTTGTTGTTGTTGCTGTTATTTTTTGTTGTTTGTTGTTTTTTTTAGAGCCCTCATTTTTTAAATTTAATTTTTGTGTAAAAATGATGTACAGAGGGGTTACAGTTATATAAGTAAGGTAACTGAGTACATTTTATTGTCAAACATTATCACCCCCTCTCTCATTTTTCTCCCACTTTCCCTCCCCCTGATTCCCCTCCCCCAAAAGTTGTAAAGTTCATTTCCAACATACTTGTGAGTAGTTGTTGTTGTTTTTTGTCATTGAACTCTGGGTCTGGGTGCTGCCCCTGAGCTCTTCAACTCAAGGATAGTGCTCTGCCACTTGAGCTACTGCACCACTTCTGGCTGTTTCTGTTTATGTGGTGCTGAGGAATCGAACCCAGGGCCTCGTGCATGCAAGGCAAGCGCTCTTCCCAGCCCCCCCAAAAAAAGTTTTTGATATTCTTCCCATTCCCCAAAAGCAGCAGAACTTACCTATAGTTCTCCAACTCTTCAGCAGCATAGCTTATTTTTTCATCTACTTTGGAAAGTTTCTCCTCTTTCTCTAGCCGAGAATTTTCTTCTACTGTTAATTTCCTTAAAACAAAGAATATTTTTTAAATATATATAATATTTTTTTTTGGGGTCCGGTCGTGGCGCCTGAACTCTGGGCCTGGGCACTGTCCCTCAGCTCTTCAGCTCAAGGCTAGTGCTCTACTACTTGAGCCACAGCGCCACTTCCGGCTTTTTTCTTTTTGCTTATGTGATGCTGAGGAATCGAACCCAGGGCCCTGAGCATGCAAGGCAAGCGCTCTACCACTGAGCCACCTTCCCAGCCCCTATA